ACACACACATACACACACATACACACACATACACATATACACACACATATGCATACACACACATACACATACACACACATATACACACATACACACACAGATACACTATGCACATACACACACACACACATATATACACACACACATACACATACACACACACATTCCCATACACATATACACACACACATACACATACACATATATACACACACACATACACATATACACACACACATTCCCATACACATATGCACATACACACACACACACACACTTACACATACACATACCAGATCAATACAGGATAAAAATTAAAAAAAAACACCTTTAAGTATATAAGTATATTCACACGTTCACACTATTTTATTCTCCCCTAGAACTTTCATCCTACAAAACTAAACCTCACATCATCAAACCACACCTTTCATCCCCCTCATTCAGAGCCCCCAGCAGCCACCCTTCTTTCTGCCACTGAGTTTATTGCCCAGTCCAGCACCCATAACACAAGATGTAGGTTCTCTTCACTCCGAGAACCATCTTGAAGACCCCCTCATAGGAACCAAAAGTGGCCATGAACCTGCCATTTTACAAGCTAAGTAACACTCACAAACTCTCAGTGTTACTTGGACATTAGCTCAATCTGTTGCAAAGATTGCCTTGTTGTTTGCATTTTCCTGTTGTTTTTGGGTGTCAATCCATGTAAAATGTCTTCTTATGCAAAAAAAAAAAATCAATATGGTTTTCAGATCAGAAAAGAACTTTTGAACATTTAGTTTTACTCAGTTTGTTCTACCCCTTTCAGTTGACAATTCAATCACTGTCAAATCTGGAGGCTCCTGACCTCTGTGGTGTTTAGTTACAGCCATCCAGAAAATATCAGGGATAGCTCAGCTCTAAGCACCCTTTTCTTGCCAGCATTTGGCATGCCTGGTGGAGAACTGCAAAATCTACCCACGTTCTTTTCTTAACAGTAATTTTTATCAGTGTCTGATATTTAGGCCAAACCCATATGGAAATTCTCCACTTAAAGGTATTTAAATCATGTGTGCCTGTCACCTAGAACAAGATAGCTAAAGAAATTTAATGCAGCTTCCCTTCAAGAGAATCCCCAGGCTAGTTAGGAAAAGGTTTTTATATTCCTGAGAACATAGGGGTTATGTGGAAATTGATGGAGAGGTTTTAGATGGAGTGGTGTATTACAGTCAGCTCACCCAGGAGGCGTTTGTTCAACCTTTAACTGGAAAGTGTCTCTATTAGAGGCCAGAGTTGTGTTCATTCTTGGGTTGCCATGCTTTGCTGTCTGACTAATGTGGACAAAATGAGACTTGATCTCAAATGGCATAGATTACATGCAGAATAAAGTTCATCCTGACTGCAATGGCCCCTCCTAAGGCAAAGAAATGCACAGCCACCTGTCTCCTTGGAGTTCCTTGAATATTCACAAGGACAGACCTTCCTCTTACGGCCCAAAGGGGGCCACAAATCCTCCTTTTGCCTACTTAAATTGTCTCAAGTTCAGCAAAACCTGGAATAAAGTGATAGCATTTTTTATTGTTGCTTCTAATATTTTAGACATAATACTTCATGCCTCATGAATGTTGATTTGTTGATACATAAATATAGACAACATATTATAGGTAGATAATAGAAGAGATAGATAGATAGATAGATAGATAAATAGATAATAGAGACAAACAGAGATGATAGATAGATAGATAGATAGATAGATAGATAGATAGATAGATAGATAGATAGATGATAGAGACAGACAGATGATAGGTGGGTAGGTAGCAGACAGAGATGATAGATAGATAGATAGATAGATAGATAGATAGATAGATAGATAGATAGATCAGAATGCCTTTGTATCAGTTACTTCTCTGTTGCTGTGATAAAAATACCCTGATGAAAAGTGACTTAGGAAAGTAGGGTTTTGTTAACTCATAGTTCTAGGAAGATAGAGACCATCATGGAGAGGAAGGTATGACAACAGGAAGGAAAGGCATAACAGCCTTAGCAGGAGGCTGATCACATTGCACTCAGGAAGGTGAGAGAGAGAACAGGAAGTAGGTAGTAGGTCAAGGCCGTAATCTGCCAAAGCCTGGCCCCAGTGGCATACTTCCTCCAACAAGACTCCACCGTTTAAAGGTTCCATAACCTCTGCAAACAGCACCACCTACTGGAGACCAAGTATTTAAATACATGAGCCTAAGGGGGACTTTTCTCAGTCAACCTCCACAACCTTTATGGCCAAAGTCAAGAACTGATGTATGTATCATCAACCATTTTTAATGCTTTCATTTAATTTTTATTTTGGGAATTTTGGGGTCATGCAGAGTGTGAACTGGATAGTATCATGGGGTATCTTAACCCAGCAGCTCACCTTAACATTATAAACTCCCTTCCCATCTTGTTTCCATCTGTATCCTACCTACTCCCAACTTCATCTTTATTCTGTAGCAAGCCTTAAGCTTTGTATCATGTAATCCGTTGATATTTAGATATGAGTTTCTAAATGATGGGAACTCCCCTTTAGAAAACATAGTTGTGTACTTTAACAGCACATAAAATATTGACATAAATTCCTAATCACTCTGACATTGGTATCAACTTCTCATTTTATATGCATTATATGTTTATTTTATTATTTTATCTGTGTGTGTGTGTGTTTACATGTTTATATGCATTATATGTTTATTTTATTATTTTATCTGTGTGTGTGTGTGTGTTTACATGTATGAATACAAGTGTGTGTGTGTTTACATGTATGAATACAAGCATGCACAGGCCTTGGCATGCTCACAGCAGTCAGAGGACCACTTCGTCTGTTGGTCCTCATCTTGTATCAGGTTTGAGACAGGGTCTCTTCTAGTTGTTCATCACTGTATCTCTCAGGCTAGCTGTCCCTGCACTGTGGGTATTCTCCTGTGTCTGCTTCCATCTGATTGTTGAGTGCTAGGAGTACACCTGGGCAGCACCACACGCGTCTTCACAGGGATGCTGTGGATATATGAGCTCAAGTCCTCTCAGACACCAAAGAGCTTTATGCACAGCACCATTTCCCTGGCCCTACCTCACCTTTTTTATGATTTGTTTGCAACTAGACTAAGTGAAGCCCTCACCTTGCCCTTGGCTGATATTATCTCCTTAAGTCTCTCGATCCACTTTTTAAAAACTGTCATTTTTCTTGTAATTTGTTGCAAACTTCAGATTGCTTACCTTTCCGTGTCTGCACTGAGTGGATTGTATTGATTTTGTGCCCTATGGTGTGGGTGCTGTCTGATGTGAGTCTGCCCTCCCTACTCTAGAGGTCTGGTATAAGTCGGGTTTGATTTGGGGCCAGCTAACCTCATAGGCAACTCTAGGTCCTTCCCTTTGGAGGCACATCTGAGCTGATTTTCTCCCTTGGTGATGTTAATGGCCTTTGGTAATCAATGCCCAGATTCAACACCATTACAGTTTAAATAGCATGTACACCTCATCAGTGAATCCCATCACACAGCTCTGTCAGATTGGTAGAGACAACAGGTGTGTATCAGGGTTTTTGCACGCTGTAGTCTTAATCTCCAATAGATATCACATATGCATTCATGTACGTCTGTGTTTGGTGGGTAGCATGTGTGTTCATGCATGTATCTTGTATTATGCTCGTGTATATGGAGGCTGAAGGACCTGATCAAGTGTGTTCCTCAGGATCTCTCTACATTCTTTTTTACGACAGGGTCTCTTATCGGACTCTAGCTCACTAATTCAGCTAGGCTGGCTGGGGAGCAAACCCAGAAACAAGCTCACACCACCACATTTGGGTTTTTCACGTGGGTTCTGAGGATCGAGCTTAGGTCTTTGTATTTGCAATGCAGGCAGTTAACCAACTGACTCTCCAGCCCGGCGCTTTGTTGTGACATCATCCCTGATGGGCCACAGTGCATCTCTGAAACATTCCTTTCCTTGTGGGAAGTCTGTGGTTACCAGAGAGCCTGGTGCATGACCCCTGATTTCACGTATCTCAGCTGGATAAAGAGCAGTAGCTGTCCTGTCAAGACATTGATTCAGATGCCTGTTTCTTCTAGATTTGCGCTAGAGCCTCTGCTGCCGAAGAAGATGCACTCCAGGTCCCAGGACAAGCTGGACAAGGACGATCCAGATAAGGAGAAGAAGGACAAGAAGAAGGAGAAAAGGAACAGCAAACACCAAGAGATATTTGATAAGGAATTCAAGCCCGCTGACAGCTCCCTGCAGCAGTCTGAGGCTGTGATCCTTTCTGAAACGGTAATTTAACGGGGGTGGGAGTCTGCATGGGTGACTGGGACCCACCTTAGCTCTGCATCAAACCAAGAGGATTGTCAGTTGGATTTTATTGAATTTTCAGGAAAAAAATAACAACTTGAAAGCCCTATGTCTTCTCATCTCTGACCTCAAATAGCCCAACAGTCAGAGACACAGAGCTGAGCTCTCTCTTCTCCCAGAACGCATGCTGTCTTGGCCTTCATCCTCTTTCAGAGGGGCTGGATGGGTCAGTTCCCTGCAGGGCCCTCATGTGTCTGGACTCCTCATAGCTCTGTTAGATTTGGAGCCCTCCGATGTCCTTGCACCTCAGAGAACAGAAGCATACTTCTTTCACAAATCATGGCTCATGGGCAGCAAATGTCCCCTCTACCCACTCCTACTGGCATTCTTAAGCCATAGTCACTTGCCTGAGGGTTATAATCCGTTCAATGTGGGGCTGGTCAGATGGCCCCATACTTGATGATCTCAGTTGGATCTCCAGAATCCATGTGATAGAAGAAAACTAACTCCCACAAGTTGCCATGTGACCTCCATGCATGTGACACACACACACACACACACACACACACACACACGCATATACAAAATAAGTAAAGTAAATGTAAGTGTGCTCTCATCCCAAGATGAGTCTTAGACCTAGGCCTCCCAGAAGCACACCACAAAGTGTAGAAATGAGGCAGAGAGTGTTTCAGAGAGAGACCACACACACACACACACACACACACACACACACACGCATATACAAAATAAGTAAAGTAAATGTAAGTGTGCTCTCATCCCAAGATGAGTCTTAGACCTAGGCCTCCCAGAAGCACACCACAAAGTGTAGAAATGAGGCAGAGAGTGTTTCAGAGAGAGACCCAGGCATCTTCAGTGTCCAGAGTGACATAATCTTAGAGCCACCTCCCCTAGACATGGATAGTGCTTGACTGGTAAGCAACTGGAACTTGTCTCCCTGGGCTACAGCTCCATTTTGGCTATGATAAAGGGAATTTCATCAAAATTCTGAAGTAGGCATGCTTCTTAACAAGTCACACGAAAACATGTCGGAGGGAATACTCCAGCACCGACAACAGTCATATGCGCCTGCTTGACTCAAGGTGGGAGGCAGATGTAGGTGCCAGACCTGTGGCATGGCTCAGGAAGGCCACTGGCTCTTTGGCCTGTGGACATGTGTTCTCACTAGAGCTGGGCTCTGGTATCCCTGTGCAGATACTGGTGGCCAAGGGCATCGGGCCCAGGAAGCACTGGTCAAGGCTGGCTTTAATTGCTTGGGCACTGGGCCTCAGGCAGTACATGAGAGGTACTGGTAAGCCACTCTTCATTTTCTGCCCACTGTTCCAGAAAGCTGTGCTTCCAAATGCCCTCACAAGCCAAGGTCTTCTCTCTGGTCCCTCAGAGTCCTAACTGGTTGGCTCAGCTTCCTTCTTTGACATATTTACTCGGGGTCAGGCACTGTAGAGTCCTGAAGACATTTTTGTTAAAGCTCTGTCTTAAGATATGAAAACTGTACCTCAGGAAAGTAGAGCCAAGTAGCCAACAGGACCACAGTTGAACTGTGTGGGAGCAAATCCAAGGACACAGCAGATGCTGAGCCATCACAGTACAGTTTCGTCCTTCTCAATGATGATTGTCTTCCTGGACAACACCTGCTAATGACAGGGCCAGGTGCAACACCATGTGGGCATCTCAGATCACAGAAACTACACAAGGTCAGAGGACAGAACCTTGACTTTGCTATCAGAAGGTGCCTGAGGTTTAGAATGCCAGGGCTGCTGCCGCGGAGTCTTACCCATTGGTCAGGTGTGGGGCACAGCACATCATATGCACTGCGTGGGCCATGCTGACTCTAGCGCCCCCTAGTGTTCTCTGATGTTGCTATGGCTTCCCCTCAATATACCTACACTGGTCTTTTGGCTTCTGCAGTATTTTCCCCCTCCCTTTGGGGCTGGGCTCAGCTTCCTTCTTCATTTGCATCATTACAATATCTTGACCTTTAGCTGAGCCTCTCAAAGCTGGGCCTCCAGGCTACCATTTGCATTTCCCCAGGAGATCCTCCTGAAGCTTTGTGTTAGGAGCAGAGAGAGCGAGAGAAGGTCCTTACAGCCCACTCTCTGCACCAGCCCATAAGTATATCTTCCCGGGAGAACCAGGCTTGTAGCCAGTTCTGACCTCACCCAGCAAGGCTCTGGGGACTCTCCCTTTTCACAGAGAAGGGGCAGTACCGGGGCGTGGCACCCACACCATCTGCACAGAATGGTCTGATGTGTAGCCTGAGCCTGTGTGCTGCTCATTTATCAGAGGACCTCTTCCCTGCTCAGGACCTCACTTCTGGTTTCAGCAGCTCCAGTCTGAGATGGCTTTATGGGTCTCTTCTAAGGTAGATACAAAGACCCCCCCTGGCTCTTGCCATTCCCTCCCCCACAAAACCAGCTCATGCCCCAGGATTATGCTGAAACACCAAAGCCAGACCCTCTGGGAGACAGCCTCCTCTCCTGCTTTTCCACCAGGTTAATAGCATTTCTGAATAATCCTTCCTCAGAATATTTTGTAATTGCTGGTGTTCCCTGATGTGTAAGATCTGAGGCCAAGCTGTAAGAAATATATAAATTAAATTTACTGATGTTACAAACAGGGGAAAGGGTCCAGGTAGGGGAAAGTCAAGTATGCCCCAAAGCCCAAGACCAGCAGGAAGAGGAGAGAAAAGAAACTCCTGCTCGATAATAATACAGCTCAAAGAAATTAAATGATGGGGGAAGGAAATACCTGCCTTCCGGCTGAGGCCTTTAGACTTCTGTTTCATTCATTTAGGTTGTGTCTTGTTTTTGTTTGGGGGGTTTTTGGTTTTACCTTTCAGGTTTCACTATGTAGCCCTAGCTGTCCTGGGACTCACTCTGTAGACTCACAGAGATCCACCTGCCTCTGTCTCCCAAGTGCTGGCTGGGACTGAAGGTGTGCACCACCACGCCCAGCTCTCTGTTCTATTCCGGATTCTTTGGGGGCATCCCTAGGTGCTCTTCCTAGGTACACAAGTAGCTTACAGCTACACACTTCCACTTCCATATTGTGTTCAAAAGCCTGCAAAGGACTGGGACCAAAGCTTGGAGAGTAGAGTGCTTGCCTAGCATGCATGAGGCCCTGGGTTCAATCCCCAGCAGCTCATAAACTCCCAAATGGCGGTGCACACTTGGAACTCCAGCCTCCAGGAGGAGGAGACAATCAGGATCAGAAGTTCAAAGTCATCCTTGGGTCTATAGCAAGTTCCAGGCCAGCCCATCCCCAAAGGCTGGGTTGAGGATTCATATGAATTTCTGTGTTAGTGGGGACAGGTTGCCATAACAAAGCACTGTACTCTCTGTGAGCAACTCAGGTGACAGAAAGTTGTTCTCTACCAGTTCTAGAAGCTGCAAGGTGATCAAGATCAAGTGTGGATGGGGTTGCCTGCTGCCCAGGCAGTGAGGGATTTTGTTCCATACCTCTCCTGGATGGCTAGCCATCTTTGGTGTCCTTTGACTTGCAGCACCAGTACCCCACCTCTCCTTTATCTTCCCATGACATTCTCCCCGTTTGCATGCTGCCAAAACTCCCTTTGTTCATAAGGTCTTGTTGGATTAGGGGTCATGCTGACAGCATCTTAACTGGATCCTTTGCAAAACCCCTACATCCAGGTGGGCCCGTGTGATACTGGGGTTAGGTCTTCAGCACAGGAATTTGGGAAAACACAGTCAGTCCCTATAGATCTTTGTTCTTTCTGTCCCTCAACATAGATAAGCCCCCTGCGGCCCCAAAGACCCAAGAGCCAGGTGATCAATGTCATTGGAAGCGAAAGGCGCTTCTCTGTGTCTCCAACGTCACCGTCCTCCCAACAGACACCCCCTCCAGTTACACCAAGAGCCAAGCTCAGCTTCAGCATTCAACCCAGTAAGTGGAACTTCAAATGTTTTTCCTTAAGGTCCCCCTGATCGTGGTGCTTTGTTCAGGACCCTTTCCCCAACAGCAGACTGAAAGACAGATGAGCACCTGCCACCTGGGGGAGTCCCTCGGGTTGTGGTGGGAAATGCAGACTCAAACAGAAACCCACCCTCAGTGCCTGAGCTCAGCCAGGACCCAACCCGGGAGCAGAGCCCCTGTCTCAAAAAGAGGTCTTGAGAGCCACAGGGGGCCAGTGTGTTCTGGGACCTTGGGGCTCTGTGCTTAGTGGGATGTGCAGTGAAAGAGTTATTGGTTAATGCATAGTAACTTCTACTAGGGGTGTTCAGTGGTTGCACAGCACCGTCAGCCTGTCACCCCTGCTAGCTTAGTGGGATGTGCAGTGAAAGAGTTATTGGTTAATGCATAGTAACTTTCATGAAGGGTGACAGGTGGTTGCACAGCACCGTCAGCCTGTCACCCCTGCTGACTTGCATACTACAGGAGGATTAATTGAGGAGTGTTATGTCACATCCAGGGGGGGGAGCCTGCCTCTTCACTTGTCAACTGCCCTGCTGTTTCCTGCTTAAGAAAACTCCAAAAAGCACCCACCAGTAAATGTGTCCATTTTCCTGTTTGGTGTAAGATAAAACATCTTTTCCAAGATTATCAGCAAAGGCTGATGGAATTAGCCTACCTTAGTGATCCTCCCTCCGTTTATAAATGGCCACTTTTGTGCTTTAAGAACTCATTGTACCCCCACCCCTGACTCTGGAAAGCAACTGCTTCCCCTTCCTGTCTTATAATTCATGGGACTGCCCTGGTGAGTGAGCTGTGTGTGGCCGTAGCTGGCTGTGTGCCCCATCACTTTACCTATTACCAAAGAAAAGGAGGCTCATGGATGGTAGTATTTACACAAGTGAATTAGTATGTTGCTTCAAGCTTGGGTACTCTCAGTTTCCTTTCTAGAACATTCCACCAGGAGAGAATTCCGCTCTTTGTATTCTTTGCTCCTCTTTGCCTTCTTCTCTATTCTGTAGAGGAGGGGGAAACAGGGGAGCCCAAGAGCCTTCAGGCCCAGGAGACTTTTTGGTTCTTTTGTAATTATTTCTCCGTATTCAGGTCTGGAGTTGAACGGCATGACGGGGATGGATGTGGCCGATGTCCCACCCCCTCTGCCCCTCAAAGGCAACATGGCAGATTATGGAAATCTGATGGAAAACCAGGATTTGATTGGCTCACCCACATCTCCACCTCCTCCTCCCCCACAGCGGGTAAGTGGGATCTCAACCATGGGTCTGGGTCTTTAGTTACTGCCCCCAACCTTCCCAGTCTCAGTGGGTTTACCTTGGACCCATGAGAAAACAACACAGGTTGGACCTGGATTTGATTTTGAGAAAAGAGTTGAGGAGTAAGGATTGAGATGTGGGCAATCTATGATTCTTCCTCTTAGCTCTAGCTATAGGAAGCCCTGCCTCCTGTACAGTGCTTCAGCCTTCCCCATTGCTGCCCTCGGTCCAAAGTCCTTCTGATGGGAATGCCAATCTTTGAGCTCTTGATAACTGCCAGCAGTGTTGTTGCCAAGAGGTCTGTCTGACTACACTAAAATGATGTGCTGTTCTATAGGGGAGGCCTTTCCTTTGTTTCCCACCATCTTGACCCTGTAGTTCCTCTAGGCAATGTTGCAGTCACACTGACAGATCCCTGGTGACCACAGGCACTTGCTGCCCGGAGAGTCCACAGAAGGGCTCCACTTTGGTTCAGAGACTGCATGTCCCGACTCACTGTTTTGTCAGCCCTCAAGCGCCCCCCAAAATCTTGGTTCAAGTTTTGGGCCTGGCTTTTTCCAGCAGTACTCAGGAGCAGCCAGACTGAACCCCTCTCCATCAGTAGTACCCAGGCTGGTCCCCACCAGACACTGTTTTTAAAGTCATTAATCAAGTCTAATGTGCTTCCTGATGAGCTGCCTGGGGCCTGCCTGCTAATGCAAACAGTAGAGAAAAGTCCTACACACCACACTGCAGTGGGTCCTCACTGTGGCTAGCATGCATTGCTCAGGTCAGCCTGTGGCCCCGGCCCATCTGCTTGTTTACAACTCAGACATGAGTAGAGAAGATAAGCTCAGAGAGGAGGCATAAGTCTGATTTACGCAGTCATGGCAGAATTGTCCACTCCATAGTTCCCACTCCCTGGCCACATTATTCATTGCCTTTTAAAGTTCAATCAGCTCAGGCTGGAGAGTAAAACACCCTAGTCCTTGTTTGTACAGCTGGTCATACATACTTTTTGCTGTTCAGCCCCTATAACATAATGTTGTGGCCACCAGAGCCCCCCTGAAAGCCCTGATGATGTGAAATTGACTGGTGGCTACTACAAGGCACAGAGATTTTGTTTTCCTTTAGTCATAGTAAAAATAAATTCTTCATGCCATTTTTTTTCCTTCTTCAAGAGGCTTTTTACTGGGTGCTCTGCAAACTTCTTTTCTTCCCTTGTGAAAGCAGTGAGGGAGGGTTGGGGTGATGGCTCAGTAGGTAAAATGCTTGTCATGGAAGTAATATAAACTGAGTTTAATGCACCAGAACCCATGTATAAATGCCAGACATTTTGGCAGGCACCTGTTCTCCTAGCTAGTGCTGGGCACACAGGAAGGGCCCTGAAGCTCACTGGCCAGTCATGCTAACCAAACTGGTGAGCTCCAGATTCAGTGAAAGATCTCCTCTCAAATAAATAAGGTGGAGAGTGACTTAGGAAGATGCCTGATGTTGACCTCTGGCTGCCACATGCATGTTCATAAACATACATTTGTAGTAGCATATGTTTGAATACATACATACAGGCATGTGCACACACATGCACATACAGAAGTGCTTGGTAACTGTGCATTTGGTTGTTCCTGTAAGAAACTAAACAAACCGTCAGACCTTTTCTCTGGCATGCAAAGGACAGGTGGTTCTTCTGAAGCCCAAGTATCATTTATGAAGGAATAAATCTCCCTAGAGATACCAACTGGCCAGCTGGCCCTGGAGAAGGGAGTATTCTATAAGGCTAGAGGGCTCAGGAAGCTACTGAAATGTGAACTTGACCTCTCCAGCACAAAAGGAGACTCAAGGAACCCCAGGGAAGGGGAACCTTCACTTCCTTAGGGTGTTACATCCTAATCGGTTGATTATATCCTTATTTTATTAGAAAATCAAAAATGTCCCCAGGTCCTCTTATAATCGGAAAACTCTGTACTTGGAAGTGTGAACAAGTCCATTTCTGTCACACATCCACACAGGGGTGACAGATCCATCATCCTAAGTTGTCAGTGCCACTTGTGATTAAGTAAAGGACCGACATGCCCTAGCTGCAGTTCTGTTTATAAAGCTGCTGTAAATTCAATTAGATTAATTACCCAACTCTCTTTGCGATTTGTTTCTGGTTTAATTTGCAGCCTGAGCTCAAGTTTGGGTGACAGGCTGGTGGTTAGTGTGTCGTAATTAGTTAAGGCATCTTCTCAGGTGCCTCCCTCTGCACAGGTCTTAAGAGCCGTTTTTGGATAATGATCGTTCATCTGCCGTAGGAGGTGATCGATAGCCTCCCGTCATTCTCATCGATCGGCCTCGGGCTTGTCGGTGACTCTATCTCTGGTTGTTGCCATTTTAAGCTGTCATTCATTTCAGAATGGCTCGTATGGCCAGTCATGTGAGCTATAATTTTGCTTAATGGTGATAAACCCAACAATCTCCTGCTTGGTATTAAAGGCACCTCTGGCATCTAACACTGTATTTTCCTCAGACTGTGTTGGTCCTGACTATAGTTGCTCTCTGTTGGATATCACCGTAACTTTTACCTATAAACACAACTATAATGGATATTTTCAGGCCATCAAATCCATGTTGTTGTTTTTTTTCACAGTTCATATGAACCTTAAAAAGACTTACAAATGTACTCTTTACTTTCCTTTGGGGGGGGTGTTCATATATGTGTGTGTATGTGCAAGTGGACATTTACATATCCATGAGGAAGCCAAAGGTTGACATCTGGTGTCTTCCTTAATGGCTCTCCATTTTATTTTTTGAGACAGGTCTCCCACCAAATCTGAATCTCACTGATTGGGCTAGACTGGATGGCCAGCAAAGCCCACGAATCCTCCTGTCAATCAGGCAGGGGTTAGAGGCCTGTGCTACTGTGCCTGCTTTTTTACATTGGTTCTAGGATCTGCACTCAGGTCCCTATGCTTGTGTGGCAAGCCCTTCATAACTGAGCCAGTTCCCAAGGCCAGATGATCTCCTGCCCTCTGTAGTCAGCACTAGGGTGATAGTGAATTTACCCATCAGTGAACCAGGATCAGGTGTGGCAGTGGGTAAGAGACACCTGTGTCATAGTTCTGTCCTTGAGAGCTTCTCTTACATTCAGCCACACTCCAAGAAATTGTGACACTTGCCCTTACATTACATGGTGGCTCTTGAACAGTTCTTGAGACTTCTGCCTGCAGTGGGCTCCCACCTCCCCTGGGGTGACAGTTTCTTTATCTGCTCGCTCACTGTGCCCTTGGGTGATAGAGTCACATCTCCCCGGTATCTCTTGTCAGTGTCTATGGCAGTCATGAGGGTCCTGAGAGCAGTAGGGCAGTGGCCACCCGAGTCATTCGCAGCCAGCATGGTACGTGGTTTTTCTGCCAGCTTTGTAGCTGTGTGTTCATTTTCTCCTTTAGAAGATATATTCCATTTGTTAGTTTTCTAATCTCCATGATGTGTGCTGAGAAACAGAGGGAGGGAAGGGTTGTTTGGCTCACTGTTTGAGGGCTTACAGTCTATTGTGGAGGGGAAGGCATCATGACAGGCAGCCCTGAAGTGACTGGAGCTTGTGGAGATGCTTTCTCCTATCCCACCTAAACAGGGAGCAGATGGATGAGAGAACCTGGAGATAAGCCTCAAGGCCTCCCTGCTACTAGCAACCCCCTTTTTCTAGCAAGTCTTTGCCAAGGGTTGACACAACACCCCACCCCACTCCACAATGGTGCTGGGGTCAAAAATCAAGGTCTTCAAACACATGAGCCTGTTAGGGAGGGGAGCTTTACAGTGAAACCATACCAAGATCTCAAGGCACTTTGTTGCCTATGGACCAATCCAGCCGGTCCCTTGCTTTTGTTAATGAAGTTTCCTTTACCCACAGCTATGACCACAGCTTCTACTGGTCCAGGTTTTGGCTGCTTTCCAGCCTGAGTGAGAGCCATGAGTAACTCACAAATTGTAAAACATTACATTCCAGAGAAAGCTTGCTGGCCTGGGCTGTTAGTTGAGAAGGCAAGGGAGAGTCTCTCATCACACCCTGGAGAGAGCCTTTTCTCTGGACACAGATCTGTTGCTAGGTCGATGACACCTGAATCTAAAACCACAAATAGTGATGCCTCTCAGGGGATCATTCACCATGTACATAGACACAGATGTCAAAAAACCCCATGGCTGCAGGGATGCTGGCTCTAAGCCAGGCAGGATGGAGCCACGTCATGGGGGAGGGGAGCAGTTCCCATTTTAAGTGTTCAGACTAACTTCCCACTGCTATGCCAAGTAAGACCCCCAGAAAAATAAACAAACAACAAAAATTGGTGCTTCTCTGAGGATACCAGTAACATGACAGCTTCTTCATACTCCTGTTTCCTAGCAACAGCCACCTCCACTGCCCAGCAAAACGCCACCTCCTCCCCCGCCGAAGACGACCCGAAAGCAGACCTCAGTGGACTCCGGGATCGTGCAGTGAATACACTGGGTTGAGAAAGCTACCCTCCCTTTTACATCTACTGTGCCTGCCGATTACCTCCTCCAGGACCTGGGATGTTGAGAAAGCTACCCTCCCTTTTACATCTACTGTGCCTGCCGATTACCTTCTCCAGGACCTGGGATGCCTCACCTTAGTGTGATGGCTTTTCCCAGAAAGGAGTCCTTCCTAGCCATGGGACCAGAGACCCTAAGTATCTCAGAGCACAGTGGGACTGGGGCCCAGTCATACATACTCTGGATTTTATTTTGAAGTTGGAGCCTCTGAGAGTGTCAGCTTTTCAGATGGCCTCAGTCTTGCCCTGACATCCTCTCCTTTGTGCCAAATGACTTGTATTCATTTGCAGAGAGCTTAGCTGATGTGGCTTAGCCAAGTGGGAGGAATGAGGCCAGCCCTCCTCTCCCACCCCTACTCCCACCATGAGAAGCTATGCAGTAAACTTACAAGGATCCTCCTCATGCTGCCTCTGAAGCCCAGACTCTAGCTCACCCCCAAGGGCTGACTGCTCAACCCTTCCTTGCTGCATCTGTGGTGAAACTGGTGTGGTGAGTTTCACTTCAGCTGACATCAAGCAACAAGTGTACCCCTTCTGAGAAGATCTTGGTTTCCCTTGGCATAATTTAAAGTAGGGACATCTCTCGGTTACTAAAGAGATACTAATATATGGAGTAGAGACACCATTAAGAATACTGGATCAAATGGAAAGCATAGGAAGGTGAATTTTCATTCATTTTTTAAGTATGGCCCAGAGGTGGTTTTAATTGGGTGACTTCTCTGTGTTCTCATTGTGTACAGAAGTTTGTATATACGGTGGTTCTCAGAGCTCCTGTGAGTGTCTGTGACCCTTGTTTACTCCAGTGGGCCTCTGAAAATGAGCTCCTGTGTGTCTTCTTCATGTTTAACTGCTGGAAATACTTGTTTTTTAAATCCCACACATTAAATTGTTTTTCAGATTCCCAAGGTCCTGAAAATGTTGGTGGACAATGATTAAAAAAAAAAAAACAAAACTAACTTTGTATAACCTAATATTTTTATTTGATCATCTATATTTTTTTATTCACTATGATCATGATACTGTTTGTTCTAGGAGAATTCAAAGTTAATCACTGACAAATGAAAAATAAATGTTATTTAAAAAGGACTCCTTGTGTCTGGCTTCTTTTATCATTTAACATAAAATATAGATGCTATTTTCTTAATGAAAAAACTAAAAACCACACACTTGTATATGTACCTACCCATCTTCCTCAAACATAATTGTGAGTGTGTGGGCACATGCCTGTGTGCACACATGTGTGTGCCCTCATATGTCCATTCATGTACATGAACCTAGGTGTCAGAAGTAAACCTTAAGCCCAGAGAGAGGTCAACCCGGATGAGAAGCTATGCAGTAACTTTGCTGTTTTGTTTTTGGGTTTTGTTTTTGATTTTTGTTTTTGGAGTCAAAACACTTTATTCAGAGACTTGGGGAAGACTGGAGAGGTCCACGCTGTCGTCCACTGGGCATATCTTGGAGGTCTACACATTGCTAAGAGCACGCAGTAACTCTGTAAGATTAAGCTGGACTGGCTGGCCAGCAAGCCTCCGAGATCTACTTGCCTTCGCTTCCCCAGAACTGGTACTATAAGCACATTTCACTGCCCCCAGCCTTTTGTATATTGGTCCTAGGACTCGAGCACAGGCCCTCATGTTTGTGTGGCAAACACTTCCCCAACTGAGCCATCTCCTCAGCCCTTAAGCATAATTATTCTTTATTTTTGAAAGTTTTTCTTTATTTTCAAGAATCTCATGTATGCATACAGTGAAATATAACCATGTCTACCCCTCATTTCCTGCCTATAAACCCCCTATACGTACCATCCCCTAACTCAACATCCCCTAGCTCACCTTAATGTCTTTTTTTTTTTAAATGACACACTAAGTCTGCTGGCAGATGCCATTCACAGGAGCATGGGAAATCTAACAGTGGCCACAGCCTCAAAAAATTATTATTCCCCATCCCAGTAGCTTCTCATTAAGAGATGGAGCCTGGAGATAGATCATGTACTCCATCCATACCAGGATTTTAACTGGCTTGATCTAGTGCAGGTAACCACAGCTCTGTGAGCTCATGGCTGCATCAGCTGTGTCAGGTCCTGAGGACAGTGTTTCACAGCACCACCCCTACCTCCTCCTGCTCAAAAGTTCCTTCTACCTCCTCTTATGCGATGTTCCCTGAGCCGTCCTTTGGAGGGTGGAAAGCTAGTGTAGATGGCCCACTTAGGGTTGAGCGCTCGGTCTTTTATTTGTAGCACTTTGATAAGTTAAGTGGCTCTGAATTGGCTGCTGTCCAGTGCAAAAGGAAGCTTCTCTGACCGGAGAGCAGTCTATGGATATGAGCACAAATAGTTCCAGGTCCAGGTCACATGGCTGGGGAAGTCATAGGTCCAATCATAGAACCTACTATTGTTACTTTGCTAAATGGCCATGTTGTTAAAGTGCCTTCTAAATATGTATGCTTATACTTAAAATTTTGAATCATCACCGTTTCATTGCTTCTGGTTTGGAACCCAGGTAGAAAATGCCCATCCATGAACATGTCCTCACAGTCTACACCAAAATGCCCATTCATGAACATGTCCTCATAGCCTACATCAGAGTTTCACACTCCCACACTTCATTCCCCAGCTGGACCTGAGGGCTACCAGCTACATGTCCGGTGCTTCTTTCTCCCCTGCTTCTGTTGCTGATAATTTGAGAGATGACTTTGTCATGTGTGTGATTGGGCTTGAGAAGCCTGGGTGCTTGAGAGCCTTCTCCAGGATCTACCATGCAAGAGGTTAGATGGCAGTGGGTCCCCATGCAGTGTGAAGGTCTTTCAATTCCCTCCTTTGAAAACATGTTCAGTCTATAATGAAGTGCTTCTGTATCTACCATCACAGCCTGGAGAAGGCCTCTGTAGAAGCCAAGATGCCCCAGTACAACTTTTCCATGTGTAGTAGCTATTACAATGTATAGCAACTTCTAAGTATAATATAGCTGTTTGGGGGACTGGAGAGATGCCTCAGTTGGTAAGAACACTTGCTACACCAACGTGAATCTCCAACACCCACATAAAAAAAAAAAAAAAAGCATGTGTCCCTATAACCCCAGCAGTATGGAGGACAGAGACAGGAGAGTCATTGGGGACTGTTGACTCCATCCAGCTCTAGATTCAGTGAGAGACTCCTCTTTCAACTCAAGCAAATGATGAAGAAGGTGATAGAGCAGGGCACTTGATGTCTTCTTGCCTCACCACAAGCTTATGAGCAGTGTGTGTGTGTGTGTCTCTGTGTGTGTGTGTGTGTGTGTGTGTGTGTGTGTGTGTGTGTGTGTGTGTGTGTGTGTGAC